TCCCCGCTCCGATCCGCCAGCGCTGACTGGCGGAACGGACGGGGGAGGGGGCGGGTACAGCTGGCTCTGCCTCTAGATAGGCAGAGCCAGCTGTCACTCATGCAGCTGGGCGGATCTCAACATCGATGTCGGGATCCACTCCGGCTGCGGCGTCTCAGTATACTGCGAGCTGTAGCTCGCGGTATACTGAGCTTAGGGTAACGGGAGGACGCTAGTTTGTGTCCTCCCGGTACCCTTAGGAGAACTATGGGGAAAAACACTGACCCCATAGTTCTCCTTTAAAGGCACAGGTACGCACAAGGGACACCGCACATCACAATGGTAGCTGAGACCCCCCATGCGTCACTGCACCAAATCAGTCAAGCAAAACAAATGGCAAACACACTCATCAATTTGTTACCAGCTTTACAGCAAGGTGCACATGGAAGGGCTTTAAACAGTAATAGCAAAAGGTTTCCCAGCACACTCACAAGCCAGCATGCAAAAAAACTTTGGATTGATTTGGATTGTTCTATAACAGATGGAATAGCCAATTTTTAAAGGCTGACCTCCTTACCGCTCAGTGTTGGGCATCTATCAGTGACATTAGAACAAGACCTTTTTTTTAAAAGCAGATGTTTGTATCATATTTTTAAATTAACAGGACATTTCCAGAATGAGCATCACAGTTACTGCAAACCATGAGCACATAGAACATTCACTGCATGATTTCAAATAGGCACTAGTAATAAAAGTAATCTTTTTCATAATTGCGATATAAAGAAAATGATGTGTTCTTTTGGTAATTATCTTTTTTTGTGTTTTTTTGCAGTTTCATGAAGGTTGCTGGTAAAGCAGTGGATGCAGTTACCTGGCAACAGTAGGTATTCAGATTTTTATTTCATCCCTTTTTATTACCGTTCACTGGGCTCATTTTGTAATATGGAGAATCCTTTGACTATACTGTAGCTCGCGGTATACTGAGCTTAGGGTGATGGGAGGACGCTAGTTTGTTATCCTACGGAGAACTATGGGGAAAAGCCCTAACCCCATAGTTCTCCTTTAATCATTATATAGGAAATTGAGCCTTATTGCTGATTTTATATATAAGGTAATCATTCTATATTAAATTAAGACCCGCGTTTTACATGAAATATTAGCATTCTTCTGTTGAAATTTGGCTGAATTGAATGTTTCTCCATAGGTGTCTTTCTTTCTCTGCAGCCTTGAAAAAAAAGTAATTTACAGCACTTCTGGGAATCACATTGTATCTGGTCTGCAAACATATATTCTGAAAGAAAAATACACAAAAAGTCTGAATCTGGCAGCAAGTCTATTTTGCATCGCACTGACTGAATTTTACATGTTCAGCCTCTTATCATGAATAGCTCTTGTGTAACCTTCACCTCCTTTTCCCTGACAGGACTTGAATGTAGTCCAATTTACATTTGCTAGGCATTGCGAAAGGTGTAAAGTGGAATTATGTCCATTACTCCAGCAGGCTTTTGTCATTCGCTCTATGTAATGACCATGTTTTTATTGGATGCAAAGGGACATATTTATGAACAGTGAATGTAGCATTCACCAAACATTCACTGCAGGTATATCAATCACTGTCATTTAAAACACATGCATCAGGAAGAATCACCTGCTCTGTTTGGTGAATGTCACATTTACTGTTTTAAAAATATGCCCCATAGACTTTTAGTGACCACCGACACGTTTGAACTGTTGAAGGTCATTGGTTATATCTTGTATGTGAGCCCAAGGAAGCATGTAATAAAAGTCACACTATGTTCAGATGAAAGCATTTAAACCAAACTCTCTAGTTCAATGGCTGAGAAGGCAAATACATTTCATTATAAAAATTAGAAAAGAACTCCAGGCATCTTTAAAACTCTCCCTTGCAGTGGGGCCCTACATTGCAAGGGTTAAGTGCTCTTGTTGTCTAGGGGATATAATAAAGCAGATATACATACCGTGTTTCCCCGAAAATAAGACACTTTTTGCCCATTTTTTTTGCCCCCAAAAAACACACTAGGTCTTATTTTCAGGGGATGTCTTATTTTTTTTTTAATGTGCAACAAAATGTACAACAATCCAAAGTTATCTGGTGTCACTCCGCCTGTCACAGTAACTGGCGCTATAGAGTAAGTATCGGCTAATGCGGCTCTGCTCACTCCGCCACCGCAGCCTTGCTTTCTACAGCGCCGGCTTCCTTTGCCATCAGGGACAGCTGTGCAGCAGTGGGGACATCAGACAGTGGACAGCGTGGTAAAGTACGGTACCATTCACCGGTACACATTACAGTACAGTACAGTACCATTACATTAAGCAGTGCCTTCAGGGGGACAGCAGTTGGTGAAGTCTGGTACTGGAGTGCTCCCTGTCACTGTGCTGGCCGGAGGGAGTCCCCTGTCATCCCCTTAACACAGTATGTCCCTGCAGGCTGATACCATCTCTCCTGCTCTTCAAGTTCCCCTTCACATTCTACCACCAAACTAGGTCATATTTTCGGGGTAGGTCTTATATTACAGGAATCTTGAAAAATAGTGCTAGGTCTTACTTTCAGGGTAGGTCTTATTTTCGGGGAAACAGGGTACCTAAGCCTCGGTCCCACCGCAGTCAGCACTCACCTCTCTCCTCCTCCGCTCTGGCAACGTACGCACATATAATGCAAGTCAATGGCCCTGCATAAGATGTAATGATGTCAATGGTCCTTAGACCTCCAGAGACCCAGGGGAGAAGAGTCGGTCTAGCAGCCAGGTGGGATCGAAGATCGAGTGAGTATGTTTGCTTTCTTCTAGCCACTAAAGAGAATGACAAACAGTTACCCCTGCCGTGCAGGGGTGGCCTCACTGCAAGGGTAAATTTTTTAAATGACCAGATTTCTTCTTCAAAGGTCGATATAAAAGACAAAGATTAATGCAGTTCTGTATTCATTAATACATCATTAAATGTACATTGAAATCGGTGTAAATACCTGAATTTCAGTTGGTACCAGCCCCTTCCAATTGCCTGTACAGTTCAGATCCAGAGAGGTTAAAGCAGCACATGGAGCCAGTCATTTTTGCTGCAGTGCTCAAGTGCTAACAAAAAGCAGAGAGATGAGCTCATCAGTCTGCTGCTTCTCCTTTCACTGTCCAGTCACAGGGCGGGGGCGGGACAAGACCTGTTACTTAAAGCAGAATTCTGGGGGGAAATTATGATTGACCCTTACAATGGGGCTACCCCTGCACTGCAAGGTTGCGCTGTGTGGCAGAATAGTAGACAGAAATACAGGGGCGTCCCGAGGCGGGGTGTCACCCAGAGCGGAGACCGGGTGACACCTAGCCGTGACGTCATCGCACATGCGCGTGACGTCACCACGTGCGTGCCCAATGATGGCATTGCGTATGCGCGGCCATCTAATTGACGCCTGCCTGTGGCCATCTTGGTGGTGGATGCTGGCAGAGAGAGGAGGGGACGTTCGGCTGGCAGGATGAGGTATGCTGCCGGGTCCCCTTCTATCATCTGACACTATCGGGCTCTCGGCTCATGACCAAGTCCCTGACTTGTTAGAGGGGGTGACACCAAAATGACAGTCATTTTGGTGTCACCCCCTCCAATGGTGTCACCCGGGTGCACCCCCCTTGTGACGCCACTGCAGAAATACCAATCCTTTGAGAGCTAAAATAGTTCTTATTTATGTATTTCATCCAAATATTAGCTGTTTGGAGTTCAGATTTAAATTATTCATTATAGGGGTGTAAAATATCATAGAAAGATTTTTTTATATTTTAAAAGTGAGAATGCAGAGTAATGAAGCATGGTAGCATTGTACTACTAGGACAACATAAATTAGAACCATGGCCCTGATGATGGAATTGTGTTACACCATAGGGATTTGATGGAAATATATGAATTCCCTCCAATGATTGTTTCTGCCTTTATTAGCCCAGTTACTATTTTTTGTTATCAAGAAAATATATTTATTAAAGGATCAATACTGCGCAGAATATACAGAAAACAGCGGAGTATCTCAATAGTCACAGTCCGTTTACAGCTCAGTTTATTTTAGTACCCGCGTGAATATAATTTTTGTGGACAACCTACAGATGATTGATTTCTATCTTGTAGCTTCAAAACTTTAAAAGATATTGTCTTGGAACATGAGATTCCGAAGAGATTCTTCCATTTCCTTCTGCCGAGAACTCTAATGAAAGTGAATAAGTGTTACATCCACGTCCTGGACTGGCCTTTAGATAAGACGGGTCGTAGTGCAGAAACAGCTGAAATGGGACCATTCTGTAGAGTTTATCAGAGAGAATAGAACAATGGAGACCCCCACATAGAAATATCTATAAGGGAAGTTATATCATGCACAGAAACAGTTTTAACAACAGCGGTGAACTATGTATCTATGTATTTAAAGGACGCGTTATTTAATGGCTCTTGGTCTTATCACTATTTAGTCAATTCAACAAATTGATAAAATATAGTATTGGTAAATAGCACTTTGCTGTCACTTTTTCCTTGTTCTATTGAATAAGCAGCTGTTCCTCACTCAGCAAGCTTATATAGCAAGGATTGTGCTGTGCCCCATGGGCCCCAGAAAGGTTTGCACCTGGAAGGAGCGCTAAGTCCAGCTGCAATCTTACTGTGAGAGCTCGCTCTGTTTTCTAAGACTCTCCCATGCCGACTGCGAAGTCAGCCCAGTTCTCCAGGAAACCAAAACCTTCCTTCTGACACCAGCTCCGGAGCCACTTGTTAAGCTCCCTCAACTCGCGCTGTCTGTCCGGAGTGGCTCTTGGCACCGGCAGTATCTCTGAGAAAACTACCGTGGAGGTCCTTTCCTTCATCCTAGCACCTAGGTCTCTGAACTCCTGTTTAAGGACACTCCAATTTCCTCCTATTTTGTCATTGGTGCCGATGTGCACCATGACAACGGGGTCGTGCCCAACCCCATCTAGTAATCTGTTACAATAGACCAAATCCTTGTCCAATAAAGTAACACCATAATGGATTTTTTTTTCTAGTGAATGCACATTTTTAATTTTTACTGTCTCATTTAAAGTTTGTTTCCACTTTTGCAGTCAAATTTGAGAAAACCGCTATATATATTTAGTATGTGTTCCCAACACAGCATAAAGTCAAAGGTTTTTCTTTTTACTATTTCTTACCTTTTAGATGTTTTGCTGCAGCAGGCAAAATGGCTGATTCCAGACACCTTCTCAGTGATCTGTCCTATAGAAAGAGTAAGGACTGAAATCTGAGGATTGTGCTTCTCTCATTAACTTCATTAACCACTTAAAAACCGGGGTGTTTACACCCCCTTCCTGGCCAGGCCATTTTTCAGTATTCAGCGCTGCGGTACTTTGACTGACATTTATTCCATCATTCAACACTGTACTGAAATATATTTTATACATTTTTTTGGGAACAGATAGAGCTTTCTTTTGGTTGTATTTAATCACCACTGTTTTTTTGTTTTTTTTTTACTATATAATGAAAAATGTACCTTAAATTTGGAAAACCCTGGTTTCCCTAAGAACTGTATTGAAATACAACCTTTCCATGGATATCTGTAGATCAGATCGAAAAGAGGAACAACAGAGGAGGAAAGACGGGTAGAGTGATTTGGTAACAAATGAGAGACAGCTCCTCTAAATGGGAGACTAGTGTGGGGTATGCATGGAAAACATGTGGTCTGCTATCGTATGGCCTACTCTTTAATTTGTGGTATCTTTGATGGAATTTTCTGCTTTTGTATTGATGGATCATTGAGTTTCACAGAGCAGAGAACTCCGAATGTGTGAAACAGACCCAAGAATTACAACAAACGGCCTGCTCCTTTCTTTTCAAAGAGCTCACACAAATCAGAAATACAATCTGTAGAATGTATAGGAACGCCATGACTGCGGATTTATTCCTCAGGGCAAAATGCAGGGGCTACATAATCCAGACAACTCAGAGGGAAGAATTATAAACAGATTTTCTGTTTCATTCCTGGAAACCTCACAGGAGCTCAAAATTAGGCCCAGCATTTCTATTTACATCAATTAATTTGTTCTAATCAGCCATTGAGCTTCTGAAAGATATCCAATGGTTTTAATGGCTTAAAAATAATGAGCGTATTCAGAGGATATCAAAAGGTTTGGAAAGGAAGAAAAAAAAAAATACTGGCAAGAAAAAACGGTAATATTGCATTTGGGATTTCTGTTTTTCCGCCCGACCTTTGTGCAGTCTGTACTTGTATTGAAGTGTTTTGTTGTGCATAGACACCAGCAAAAATAGAATGAAGTCATAGGTTACTTTTGGTGGAAATATGGTGTAGAACCTTGTGTGTTGATAAGTTACTGGCCCACCTTACTAAAATATAGAAGTCTTGAAAGGGTTGGCAATTGTGAACTGTCATATGGCATGCATAATCGAAAAGGACTAAGTACATTTGCTGATATTATCTGACCTACTCTTCACTTCACAAATAAAGAACAAAATAATATATGGAATGGTGTATATGGATTTAAAGTAGAACTGAAACACTTTTTTTTTTAAGTTTTTGATAGAGTGAGGGAGGGTTATAACCACCGTCAGCTTCTTTTTTGCCATATGGTTTCCACTAGGGAGATTTCCCTTCATTTCCTGTCTGACAGTCACAACAGGAAGTGAGAGGAAATCCCTCCAAAGGGTGGTACACACTGCAATGCAATTCACAGTAATGGAGCATTGAACAGCAAGTTACCAGAGAAGAAGTTACCAGCACACCATGGCATATTTTGCCAACAACGCCTTTATTTACGTTCATCATGGTATCATAATACAGAACAACATTTCGAGACCTTACAGGATCCCTTCATCAGGCCAGGCATTTTTTGCAGAAGACACTATGGTGTGCTGGTAACTTCTTTTCTGCTAGGTGTACACGGTGCCATCCGCATGTTACAACAACATACACTGGTTAGCCATAACATTATGACCACTGAGAGGTGAAGTGAATAACATTGATTATCTCATTACAATGGCACCTGGAAGTGGGGGGATATATTAGGCAGCAAGTGAACATTTTGTCCCGGAAGGTGATGTGTTGAAAGCAAAATGGAAAAAAATGGGCAACCGTAAGGATTTGAGGGACTGCGACAAGGGCCAAATTGTGTTGGTTAGACAACTGGGTCAGAGCAACTCCAAAACTGCATCTCTTGTGGGATTTTCCTGGTCTGCAGTGGTCAGGACCTACAAAAAGTGGTCCAAGGAAGGAAAACTGGTGAACTGGCAACAGGGTCATGGGCGGCAAAAGCTCATAGATTCATGTGAGGAGCAAAGGCTGGTCTGTGTGTTCCAATAGAAAGGTGTCTGAACACACAGTGCATTGCAGTTTGTTGCTTATTGTGCCGCGTAGCCCCAGACCAGTCAGGATTCACATGCCAATCCGTGTCCACCACCACAAGTACCTACAATAGGCACGTACGCATCAGAACTGGACTTTGGAGCAATGTTAGAAGGTGGCCTGGTCTGATGAATCACACTTTCTTCTACATTTTGTGGATGGCTGGGTGCATGCCTGTCTTACTTAGGGAAGAGATGGCGCCGGGATGCAATATGGGAAGAGGACAAGCCAGCTGAGGCAGTGTTATGCTTTGGGCAGTGCTCTGCTGGGAAACCTTGGGTTTTGTCATTCATGTGGATGTTACTTTGACACGTACCACCTGCCTAAAGATTAGGGCTGATAAAGTGCACCCCTAGTGAATTTGGGAAAATTGAATTACCAACACCAATCTGCCCCCTCTCCCCCCACTACTGCTCTTTAATCGAACATTCCTTCCCCTCCGGGGCTGCTGGTATACTATCCATATATCCGTACCAGCCCTGCGCTCGGTATTTCAAATTTCACTCGCAAATGGTGAGAATTAATTGGTCAGCATGGTTACCTGATCGTGATGACCAATGAGAAGTGTGTCAGGAAACCAGGGGTGTCACCTCCCCCCAGGGTCAGCGGGCATGGCGCAGGGTACGGGTCTCCCTCCAGCCAGGCAGAACCACTGGTGCCCGGGTTGCAGGTGCGCATGCGCGAGTCGTGCGGCAGGTGCGCATGCGCAGTACGCAGGCTGTGCGCGCATCCCCAGGAGCACGTGCATAGTGTGCCTGCACCTGTTTAGGCCTCAGGTGTGGACCTAGCGGGGGGAGGTTCCCGTACATACCCATACAACCTCTCGCCTGCCATTGGCTCTCGTGAAGAGAAGCCTCTTAGTTGCCTCGGTGACAGGGGGCGGACTTACACCCCCTGGCTATAAAAACCTGGCCAGAGCTCTGGCTTGTTGCTGAGTTATCTCATCCTGTGGTGTGATTTCCTAGCTCCCTGTACATGTGCCTTGCTTTGTTTCCTGACCCCCTTTATCTGGACCTCCTGTTGCCGACCTTGGACTGCCTTTCGCCCCTGAACTTTTGCTGCCTGCCTCGACTCGGATTGGACTTGACTTCTCTTTGGATTAACCCTTTTGTACCTCTGCCTTCGGACGCTTCAGGCCATTTCCTGCCAGTGAGTTCCACTTTGTTCTTCTGCCAAACCATTGGCACTCCTGACAAAGTGCTTCTGACCGCACTGACCAATAAGAAGTGATTTATGTTAAGAAGCGCTTCTGATTGGTCAGCGTGGTTAGATGACCATGGGTGATTTGCGAGAGGAATTTGAAATACCAAGCGCAGGGCTGCGCTGCTGTGTACAGAGTATGGATAGTACAGCAGCAGCCACGAAGGGGACGGAGCATTCAGTTAAAGGTAAGAACAACGGCAACGGGGAGAGGGGGAAGACTGGTGGCGGCAATTCAATTTTCCCACATTCACCTGGGAAAGTGGAATTACCCTTTAAATGGGTTCTACCGTATTTAGAGGCTGTGCATGCTTCATATTACTACCGTCATTCTGTGAATATGTACCACCTATATTTAGCTTCTCAGTTCCTTGGTATTGTTCCCAAAGCTTCATGAACGCTCGTAGCCGTAAAATCAAGTCTGGGAAGCACAAACCAGGCAGCAATACTTCAAGATGGCAGATTTCAGTATAGTTCCAGTGAAAATATTATTCCAGTTATAAAATCCACACACAGCAGGACCGCCTGCAATCTGCAACTGGTATTGTTATTAACAGTCTCAGTTTGTGCACATTTTCTTTCACGTTCTCACTCGTATTTCTATCTGTGGTTGGCCACCGGCATTGAATATTGTGGCTTCTGGCTCCACTCTATCCACGACCCAAGAACCCGAACTGACGTGACCGTAGCCGAGTCTAGCCCAGGCACTCAACAGTTAAAAAGTGTTTTCATTGACTATGTTCATGTCACTAAAATATGATTGTCTTTTTAGTCACAATATTGATGCACGTGTGGGAAAAGCTGTAGACTTCCTGAAAACCCGACTACTTGATGCTCTGGCAGAACAGATTAGGAAAATTCAAAGCGTGAGTTTCTTTTTTTAATATTTATTTTATTTTTGTTGTTGTTTATAAAACAAGTTCCTAATTATTTTTAAATATGAATGATACAATACAACACACAAACTATAATAACAGAATGGTAACTGGGTAGCAGATTGGATGAGCACTCTTTTAGGCTAGGTTCACACCTGGGCGACTCCTGACCGTGTGGTCACGGAGTCGCCCACCGCAGCCGATCGCGCTGTGGGTGCCATTATTTTCTAATGGCACCCCAGTCTTGCCGGGGGCGGATTGTGCGGTTTCCCACTGAAAAAAGCTGCACGTCGTGTGTCGCAAAAAAAGATATATGTACCTTTTTTTTTTTACTGATTGCCGTGTGAATGTCCCCCCTTTGAAATCAATGGGGCAGCGCGGCAACCGCTGTGTGCACTAGCGTCCCGGGTGTCGCTGAGGTGTGAACCTAGTCCTATAGCTGGATGGGCTTGACAGGTGAAGCCAAACAAGTGAATACATATACAGTAAACTCCCTGTCATCCGGCATCCACGGGGTTTGGTAGATTCCAGATAAATGTAGTTTCCGGTTGCTAAAGAGGTACTATTAAAGAATAGTCCTAACTAATGCCATACCCCATACTATAGCACCATACTATACCCCCATACTATACCACATCATAACATAAACTCTGCATTGACTTCATATTAATATTGAAATGCAGTAATCAAAAGCCAATTAAGACAAAGAGACACACGATCGTTTCCAGGATAATATATGCCGCAGATCAGCAAAACAGTGAGTACACAGGGGATTGTTTTTCCTGGCTGGATGAGAGTTCTGGTTAGATGAATACCCGATAACAGAGCGTTTACTGTAATTGTATCTGGTGATGTATGCATGTCATGTACATTGCACAGCCACACTGGTGACAGATCTATTTCCTGATTTAGCCATTCAGATCCCTCCTTCAGCTTTCTATGTTACATCTCCGCGTCCAGCCTGATCACTGGCCAATGAATGACAAAGAATCCTCACCACTGTCTGATGAGCTGAGCCAGGGAATTAAATTGTTGAACCAGGTAGGAGTAATGGTGAATTAGGAAGTGGCAGAATGATCGTCTTGCCTTTCAGAGGGGGAAGGATCACTAGAACGAAAGGCTAGGTCAAAATTGAAGAACTCCAGGAATTTTTTTAATTAACCCTTGCAGTGGGGCTAACCCAGCCCTGCAAGGGTTAGGTGCTCATTTGTGTCTAGGCGCTAAAATAACAAAGTTATACTCATCGAAAGCTCTGAGCTGGCAAGCTGTCACAGTGATCCCTCCAGCCAGTCTACTCCTCCACTGCGGCATTGGAATCTTCCTCAGCGTCCTAATGTCTATACATTGTGCATAGACATGGTGATTTACGAGACCTAAGACCGCTGCAGAGAAGAGAGACTTTGAAAGGACCGGTCTAAGAAGAAGCCAGCTTGGAGCTTCGGGTGAGTGTAACTTTGACACAAATGAGCACTTAACCCTTGCAGTGCAGGGGTAGCCTCACTGCAAGGGTTAATAAAAAAAACAATTCCTGGAGTTCTTCTTTAAAAATCCTTTGAAAGCACATAAACCTATACACATATACAGTACAGTATGTATTTTATATGAACATTTAGCTGTCTACTTGCAGCTCCACTTTAACGTGCAACAGAAGCCAAAAGGTTTTTTTTTATGTGTGAAAAGGGATTCAAACCCGTGTTAGGTTTGTTTTTTCCTGTTTGTGTCCCCATTGGGGAGATTCACCCTCTCTATTTGTCTTCTGTGGTTCTGCGGTTATTACTGAAAGTGAAAGAAAATACCAAATTTTGGGTGGGCCCAAAACAGGAATAGATGTGAAATCTTCCAATGGTGGCAGTAGTTCTGGTTACCCCCAAGCATTTCCTTCTCTACGGAGGGATTTCCTCTACCTACCTGTTGTGGGTATCAGATAGGAAGTGAAAGAAATCTACCTTATGGGACATATGGCAAAAAAGGCTTACAGGGTTATAACCCTCCCTTACTCTATCCAAAACTTGGAACTTGGTTACAGTTCTTTAAAGAAGAACTCCAGGCAAAAACTTTATTAACCCCTGCAGTGTTGCTACCACCTGACTGCAAGAGTTAACTGCTTGTTTTGATCTATGGAGGAAAATACCAAAGTTATACTGACCTGATCTTCGGAGCCGGTCGGCTGTCACAGCGTTTCCTCCAGCCTCTCTCCTTCCCTGCTGCAGTGATGGTATGTCCCTTGCATCGCCACATCGCCCTCACAGTTCAAATTGTCAGCACCCTTCCATCTGGCATCCCTTGAACAGCTGATCGAAGGAGCCAGTTGGAAGCAGGCAACCAATCAGCTGCAGGCTCCGTTTGAATATTCTGACAGTGGCTGCCCAGAATACAATGCAAACAGCAGGGGATTTATCCATCAACGCTGGTAAACATTGATGGAGGGATCTGTTCTATTTTTTTTATTCAGCCTGCAGGCGTATATACCCCGCTTTAGTTGTCAGAGGTGACTCTACCATTGATGCATCTCAGTTCTGTTAACCCCCTGCAATGTCTTTGTTGTCACCTACTGTCTGTGCATGCGCTCCAGCAATGGCTGCATGGAATTTTCAGAGTAGACGATGCCTGCTTAATGTAGGTACAAATTGTGGAAAAGAAAGGGAACTTTAGTTCTGTGACTTTTATACACATATTTTTTTTATTTGTGTAATATAAGAACCTACCCAGGCTATCAAATCAATCTGTATCCAATCAGGCAGGCTCTTGCCCTACATAGTTGTTGGTAGATCTAAAGGACATTGTGCAGTCAGATTGTAACTTGCGTGATGAGGATAACTTCCTTTGTAGTGGACCTGTTGAGCTCATTGTGTAGCAAGTAGTTAAAATTTGAAATTGCAAAAAAACGATTTTGCTTGCTTTTAGCCTCTTGCTAAATGCACTGGGAGAATATACCTTCTGCCGTTAGAGTTACTCTGCATGTACTTACAGTTATTGCATATATTGTGCGCTCTTATTAAAAACAGCCTTCCTGAAAGTTCCTTACTGTGTACGTCTTTGCTCCTCTACAGAAGTGTGTATGTTTTCTCCACAGGTGGTAAATATGCACACCCCAGGAAAGAAGGTATGGCTTGGAGGAATCAGTGCTCCATGGTCTAGAGGCACAAACAATTTATCAGATACATATGCAGCTGGATTCCTGTGAGTAAATGTGGCAGTTACTCTTCTGTATCTCAGTAAATGTAAAAACATTTCTTGTAGGCACTTTATCTTTTGCTTCTCTTTAAGAGGACTATAGTATAGGAATGGGGAAGTCTTAAATTCCAAATGGTGTTGACATTTAGCAATTAAAACTTATATAGATGTTAATTACACGCACCCTTTCACTGGCTACTAAAAGTGTCACACGCTCATTCGGGGACTACTAAAAATGTCAGTCTGGTATCTGCATAATTCGATCTTCCAAACACATGGTTTTAGTGTTCCTACAGAACTGGAGGGATAACGTGCATACAAAGAGCCAAACAGAAGACAAGGGGCAAGGAGAAGGAAACACGATAGGAACGATTTCAAATTTGCTGTTCTGTAGTTAATTTAACGTTTGGAAGTAGAAGACAATGATCATAGACGGAAGGACTATTTGTATAGATGAAAGTGCACGAGAATGACCACAAAGGTTAGGAGAAAAAGGAGGGATGGAAGTTGAGCAGAAAGACAGAAGAGGAAGCTGAGCATGAATAGAAACAGAGGAGAGTGTCCAGGGAAGAGAGGTGGGTGGGTGTGGGTGGAAGTGAATGCACATGACCAGGGAGGAGAACGTGCATGGAGTAGAGGCATTGACCAGAGAAGAGAGGAGGCATTGCAGCTCTGTTGGGAGAACTGTTTTGGACTTCAGCCTGTTGTTACGCTTGAAGTGCAAGCAGTGGAACAGTAGTTCCTATTGGAAGATTTCTGCTTCTGCTCTGGAAACAACTGTAAAATGTTTGATCTCCCATCTTCTGTCCTGGTGACAGTGATCACTGTGACTAATTGTGAGGATAGATTACCTCAACAGGAACATAGACAGCAATTAAAAGTGTTTTAATGCTTTTCTGCTCTAGCCAAAATTAGAAAAGGCTTTTTCATGAATGTTCCTTTAAATTTCTTGGAATGTAAAGTTTGTTTTGCAATTGTGTTCTGTATAGTGTTGCAAAGATTTTGCTGACTGTTAGGTTTTAACAATTCATTTTGGTTAATTTACTAATTTAAATAAACTTAGTGGCATATAGATAATAAACAATAAATATACTGATATTATAATGTTCAGAATGCTCTAATTTTTGCCATTACAAAATGCTTTGTAAATCAGGTATCAAAGTGAACTTGGCACTAAATTATAGGTGCCTTTTAGTACCTGCAAGGAATTAGTGATTAGGTCAAGCCTTGTGTCCCTCTGTAGCTACTTGGATCTTAGACCCAGACTGATTATGAAGCCTTAATTTCTTTTCAAAACATAAACCCAAATTTCCTTCCTGCTCTACACTCCCTCCCACGTCATTCAGCTATGGAATGCCAGAACTTGACTGGGCAGCAGAGGTTGCATTTGAAAGTTAGGAATGGGGCTAAGTATTGGTAGGGGGCAGGGCTTAATCTCAGTTTGGACAGAAGTCAACAGCCCAGGTACAGCTTGAGGCATAGGATCCAAGGAGCTTCACAGGGACACAATTACTTTCAAAGTATAGGGTGACTGCACTTCAGCATTGTTGTTACATTTTAGGCTAGAAATGGTTTTAAATAGCTAGGTAAGAAATAGTAAAACATTTGAATACATTAAACGTATACCTAAAATGAATGTAAGGATGTTTATAAAGCATATAACTTGTCTTTGTTTGATGAATCAAGCATTATTATCACAATTAGTACTAGTGATTCCTTTCTCAGTTTTAGTATAAGGTATGTGATACTGCAGCTTCAAGCATCAGGGCCAAAGCACATTGCCTGGCCAAAAAAAAAAGTCACCACCTGGATTTAACTAAACAAATAGGTCAGAGCCTTCCATTGGATAATTACTAGGTTCAGTATGTCCCCAAAAAATGAGGTCAGCTGCCTACCTGAATATAGTTAACGACCAGGTTCTTCAATCAATTAATTTTCTTCTTCCCTGATGGAACATTGGCCATATTTCAAGATAACAATGCCAGGATTCATCGGGCTCAAATTGTGAAAGACATCACCGCTGGCTCCGCCTATTTGTTAACATTGTAGCCGCTGCTGTCAAATGGGTCTTCTCAGGTCACGGCTGAATTAAACCAAATGGGCGGAGTCGAATGTGACGTCACAACTGGCTCCTCCCATTATCATTTCCTTTTTTTATTAAAGGAATTGTAAAAAAAAATTTGTTTTTTTTTGGTATGGCACAGGGAGGAAGGGGGGAGCTCGCTCCCCCCCCCTTTCCTGCCCTGCCAGGCCAGTGCACAAATTAAGGGTCTGGTTTAGAATTTCAGGAAGACGCCATGTTTTATTTTTGTATTGGGGTCCCCCTTAAAATTCCTACCAGACCTGAAGAGTCTGGTATGACTTTTGGGAGAACACCAAAAATTCTTTTTTTTTTTACATTAGAGGCCCCCTCTAACATTCCTACCAGACCTAAAGGTCTGGTATCAGTTGTAGGGAACCTCACGCTTTTTTTAAATGTTCTGCGGACTGAAAAAAAAAAGGCATTTTTTTCTTTGGTCTAATGTCACTTTGATGCAACGAAAATTTGTTCATAAAGAAAATTTGTACATACTACCACTAACAAAAATTCACCTTTTTTTTTTAAAGCTGATGCTTAACACAATAAAACTTCATTCGGGAAAGAAATTCGGATGCATCCAAAATTTTTGTTAGCGGAAATTCGTATTCATATTAATGCTGTCATTCGGAAATTCAGATGCATCCGAATGTACAAATCAAACATTTTTCCAAATTACAATTCGGACCGAAGCGAATCGCACACGTCTAGGGGATAGCCTGTGCAATAGTAGGCCAACAAGGAGGGAGTTACAGTACTCTGACCATTGTCCCTAACATAGCGTCAGTGTGCCACAGAGGGGGTTACAATTTTGACCTAAATATGTACTTATACAGTTTACATCATCCATATTTTTCAATTTCAACCACATTTCTTTCAGCTTGAAACTGAAAAAATAGGAATAAATCTGTTTTTCCATTTGCTATAGACGACAAATACGCTAAAATGTCTCTGTCTACAGAAACCATTACCCCACTTTGATTTTTACCTCTTAACCTCACTGAGCTAATAGACACACATAATGCAACATTTTGGCACCACATCCCGCGAAACATCTGTGCAGTATCACAGCTTGCACCATACTTGTATTGGGATATGGGCTATGTTACACGCAGGAAATATCTCCCTTTCGTCTCAGCGCTATTGTAGCACACATGCAAAAGCAATTTGGACACAGATTGCAATTACTACACCTCTGTTAACGCAATTTACTCTGTGTCAGCTCTCGCTAATCAGATCCTTTGAGCTTGTCAGTTCTTCAGCAAGCATAAAATCATTAACCCCACTAAAAAAAATAAAAATGTATAAATGCTGACGCCACATGCGTGCCTTACTATAAATATGTGCTATAAATAATTTTTAGCATCTGGAGCATTTTATAGCAATGCAGCTGTTTATGACTTTTCTAGTTTCCCATTTATATCATTAGACTCAGTATTTATTAATGAGACCGCATGAATAAAATACAAAGACAGATATCAAAAGGTACCAAGACGGGGCTCTTCCAGTTACATTTTTTTACCCGCTCAGAGCAGGCAAAAGTGCACTCGATCGCCAGATTTGTCCAATTTGCCCTTAACTAAGCAATAAACTCTGAAATTTGGCATTGCCGACACTGTAAAGCAACAAACTGAGAAAAGGATTAGAGCGCTGCAGTTAAACTACACTTCATAGCAGCTACTTGGCAGAAGCCCCCAGGCATCGGCAATTACATGTGTTTAGATTTCTCCACTGATCACAAGCCTTATAAGCATTTATTAGTAGAAAATTATACATAACACCTCAGTAAGCTCGCCCTTTCCTCTAAATTGATTCCACGGCAGGTAATTTGAACAAGCCTGCATTTAGTCTGCCACTGGTAAGGAGCCTTCATTCCTGTGTCTTGTGTATCAGTTTACAGGTTGGGCATGGGATGCAGTTAACCCCTGTAGCTGGAAATGGTCATGTTAGGCTTATGCAGCTCACAATCATGGTCATGTTAGATTCTGCACATGCCCAGTACGCCACCTGAAGGTAATTCAGCATACCACAAAGATTATTTACTAACTAGTTTGACTGCACAGTAATCCAGAACAATAGACTATCAGTCAGTTGTAAACAGTCCTATAGATGCTGGGCAATGAACACCAATGCAATTGTATTTTTGTACATTTGTGCTATTGCAACCCTACCATCATGTATAAATTGCCCCCTGACTTTAGAGGGGGTAAAATGACACTGGGGGCTTCTTCTGATAGTACAAACACAAACATTTAGCAGCACACTTAACAGCTAGCATGCCAAAAATGTACACTGTTTACCAATTTGTGTTAAAAATAGAAGTTTTAGTTGTACAACTTTTGCAAAATATGTGGAAGCCACATTTTCTGCCAAGGCCCCTTTGTGTAGTGTGGTCCTGTGTAGTGTGGTCCTGTGTAGTGTGGTCCTGTGTAGTGTGGTCTCTAATCTATGAGAGCTTTCATCTTGGAGCACATATAGTAAAGGATAAATTGAAGGCAGGCATGCCTGGAGGTAAGCCCATTCCTCCTTCAAGGCACAGGGATACACCAGACGCCCAGCACAGCACAATGGCAGGTGAAGCCCCTAGTGTGTTCCCATAGCAAACCTAGAAAAACAAAAATAACAACCGTACAAATCAGTTTCTAATTAGCACCTAAAGTAAAGTGCACATGGAAGGGCTTTCTAAAGCCCTATCTTCTGATAGAAGACTAAAACAAGTGCCAGGTAATTGTCTAAAGAGTCCCAAAAAAACTTTATTGGCTTTAGAAATGGCATATTAAAAAAAGATTAGCGTAGGAGACTGTATTCTTCAACATATGGAATCTAGAACGCTAATTAATTCTTGCGTTCCAGATTGAGCCTGTGCTCAAAGATCAGTAAAATATATGTGTACAGTGTGCGCATCTATAAAAAAATCCATAAGCAGAGAATTTGCTTGGTGGCAATGATGCACAATCCTATGACCATACAGTATCTATTAGTAATTCAGGCCCATGTGTGTCTGTGCCCACGCTCTACGGTACATTATGCTGACTGGCAGCAAACCTTACACATAAGCATTTGTTTGAATAAAAACACATTTTCAGATTAGGTCAATTGTTTGCTGTGGTGCAGTTCTCATTGCCGGCTTACCATGTGTTTATCAGTTTTGAGGAGTGTAAGCTCATATAGCAGCTAAGTTTAGTTGCTGTACCTGGTTTCTATTCAGCATTTAAATACTGAAAGAGGGCACATAAAGAGACAAAACCTGTCTTCTCCACATGGGTAGCTGACCACCAAAAGTGGTTCACAGGAAGGGTTGCAGCTCTTTTATGACGTATTATGTGGTTTTTGTAGATTTAGGTAGTATTTAGTTCTTCTCTAAAGCCCAGTTGAAGTCTCACATTTTTTTTCTTCTCCTTATGGTTCTGAAGTTCATCACGTGTGATTGATTTTGGCTGTAAAATACTTTTTTTTTCTAGTGAAAATGCACTTTCTGCACCCTCCCATTCCAGTGCTTTATGCTGGCATAGATGAGCCATGGCCACCCTCAGCCAACTGTTCTCATGTAGTGCTGTGAAAGATAGGGGTTGTTTCCGGCCAGGTCTATTGAATTAGGGGGTGCAGTAAACATTGGCTGTTGCCTAATGAAGTGCACAGTCATATTTAGGCACAGATCACAGCTGCTACAATAAGAAAGTTGAGGCTGTAAAAATGGAGGTTGTTAGTACAATTTGTCTGCCTGAATACAATATTGATGACTTCATTTTGATTTTAAGTGCTTAGGAAATCAGAGCTTGCACAGTTTTCACCGTTTGTTGCCCTAAAATGTGATGCGCAAACTCACTGGCCAGTAGACTGGCAGCCGTGGGCAGGGCTGCATGTAAACCACGTTGCAATCTGCATCCCGATATGTCAGTTTACTCGGGTATTGTGCAAAGAGGGTGGAAACAGACAAATAGGATTACTTTAAACTAACACTGAGAGTGCTGTCCTGAGCTCTCTCAGTGTTATCTAAGTGGAATCTGTGGAGCTTTTTGCAAAATATTAAGAGCTAGAAGGCACCGAAACTGTAGTTTGTTGATGTGAATAACTTAGCAATGCATGAATTTAAAGCCTATGTCTTAAAGCCTACTTTTGCAGCAGGACTACCCTCACCCTGCTGTTTATATCTAGGGATATTATGAAGCTGTCTTTCACTTACCTGATCCCTGCTCCGCTGGCAGTTGATGCTCACCTCTCTCCCTCCACTCCAGCTGTGCAATGTACTTCGGGGTCCTCATGTATATTGCAGGGCTTTGCACCCTGCATTGTATATGATGATGTAAGTGGGAACCCAACCACCAGTGGGTAAATACGCTGTGGGCACCAGTCCTGGAGCCTGCGGGAACAGGGATCAGGTATGTAAAAATCCTTTACACAGGTTTTCTAGACATTAATAAGCCTTTGCACCACTGTACGTTTTTTTTTTTAACCTGTATATAGGCTTGTCATCTTGCTTCACATGTGACAGATTTGTTAAGTCCGTATTACCTCTAATTATTATTATTATTGTTGAGTTTTTCATGCAAATACATTTTTTTAATGTTATATGTGTACAGCTTTTCATTTAACTTTGCTACATAACATACAGTATAACTGTGGAAGCTTCTTCTTACATTTCATAGACCCAGTTCATTTGTACTTACATCACATCAGTTCATGAATTCTATTTTAAGTGTATTCATCTTCCATCCCAACAATAGGGGAGATGGCAGATGTTGTAATGGTACGTACAGGCTGTCATGTTGCAGAATTTATTATCTGGTTGCTCTATGATTTTCTGTAAGGACACAACCTATGTTGAGACATGAAACTCGGAGCTTCATCGTCTTTCCCAGTGACTAAAGCAGAATTTGTTTTCTCTCATTTAGGTGGCTAAACACGTTAGGAATGTCAGCCAATCAAGGAATTGATGTTGTGATTCGACACTCATTCTTTGATCATGGATACAACCATCTGGTGGATCAAAACTTTAACCCGCTGCCGGTAAGGTTATAATAAACCTAATGATGATTTGATCATATGTATCTCTGTATTTAATGGGCATTGCATTATCTCAGGGAAATATGGAGCTCTTGATGCTGTAGGGATAATGAAAATTATTGTCAGACCATTGTCGGTGCTGTGCTGTGGATCTTCTCATGGTATTATGAGAACTCAGAGAGATTTACATAATAAGAGTATTCTGTGCAGAAAAAGACAGAAATTATATTACTGTACTCTAGCTAAATAGACTTAATAGAAGACATCATGACATGTCCTGATCAGTATAAAAAATGTCAGGTTTGACATTTGAAGTATATGCACTCCTTACAGCGATTAGACCTGAACAACCGTGGTGCTCGCTAGGGATGCACCGCCACCAATACTAGTATCGGTATCCATGCCGATACAGAGTATTTGGGTGAGTACTCATACTCGTCCAAATGCTCCGATACCTTCCTCGATACCAAAACTTCAGGTCTATGCCATAGGGGAGCATAGAGCCCCTACTGGCTTCCTGATTGGCTTGGAAGCCGGCTCCATGCTGATTAGCTTGGAAGCCGGCTTTCCAGCCAATCAGCATCGAGCTGCTGAACAGCCAGCTCCTTGCTGATTGGCTGGGAAGCCGGCTCCATGCTGATTAGCTTGGAAGCCGGCTTTCCAGCCAATCAGCATGGAGCCGGCTTCCTGGCCAATCAGGAAACAAGGAAGTGGATCATTACTCGCTGCCCAGCTTCCTGATTGGCCAGGAAGCTGGTTTCCCAGCCAATCACACTAGTCACATAGTGACCTGTTGCCCTGATTTGATGAGGTTTTGGGGGTTAGGCTGATTTTAAGAGTTTGGAATAGGCTCAAGTTTGGTGTTAGGTGCAGGGGTTCATTTAAAATGTACACTATCTTATTTAGATGTTTTGCTGTGATAAATTAGTTGGCTTCATATTTACCATGGCAATTTTCTATCTATGGTCAAAAACTAAAAATAAATATGTATTTCTAGATTGAATTTCCGTAAGTTCTATCCCACTCCTAATAACCATATCAAGCTACAAGATTGTAAGCTTATATACTGAAGATGCCCATAGAATGGACTTCCCCAATGCACTGACACAATTTCACTCAGCCCTGTGAATATGCACTTTTCTGTCCTGGCTCTCACAGAACCTGCCTCTGGAACTACAACTAAATGTTTGAACAATGTAACATTATCATTGCTTGCTGGAAGCAATGCATGATGGACTATGTAGTCTAATGGAGATTGCATCACATCAAGCAGCAGGGAAAGAGATGCAAAGCACACTGGGAATCCAGGAGGTTGCTAAAAGTGATGGTCAGACGGAAGGCAGCACTCACTACATAGAAGGGATTTTTCCATGCAAGCTTTGATTGTATTCATCAGAAACACCTCCAGTATGTATTCCTATTACAATGCTGATGTTATAACAGGAGAGGATATGCCGGGACTTTACAACTCCTTAAAAGTAGTATTAGATGTTCAAACTTTTGTGAATCCAGATCAAACAAATATACATTACCCAGAAAAGTATTTCTATACATTTTTGCTTACAGTCATCATATTTCCAAACAGCTCCAACTTTCTCAGTTCATATTTGTAAAAAATAAATCAAGGCAACTGGACTGGCTGTATTTTTCTTGAAGACGTTTCACTGGTCATCCAACCAGCTTTCTTAATTCAGAAGATTTCAAATGCTCAATTTCTCAAATTTCTCAAAATGCTCAAACTTCTCAGTTCGGCCTCTCTGAACTTCCTGTCAAGTTCAAAATCACAAGGGACAGAGCAGTTCCCAGAAACGGTCCATCTACTAGCTTAGAGGAGGGAAAAGGAAATAGGAATGGAAGGAAGAGAGGAAGCAGGTGGGAGGGAAGTGACATGTCTTGCTGTATCTGTGTGTTCGTGGAGACACACACAGCTTACTAGCACACACAAGGGTGGCTCCAAAGGACCCTGCAAGGGAAAGGAGCCACCCTAAAACAGAATATCAGGTCCAGTTCCCAGGGAACCACTTGATTCTGCAGGGAGCTAAAACTTTTAAACATCTTCCATTGTAAGTGATTTTATCAGCATTTGAAAGAACTTTTTCAGTTATTCAGTTATTTAACTTTTTTTAAGTGTTTCTAAGCTTTTGACTTTAATATCACTTTAAGGGTTTTGAATAGGCTCAGGTTAGGTGTTAGGTGCAAGGGTTAAATTAAGGTTTAAGGTATTTTTTGTATGTGATAAATTAGTTGGCTCCTAAAACTACCGTGATACATTTCTGTTAACATACAAAATGAATGCAGCACGATAATTCAGCCTACTTAGGAACGGTGAGAGGGGGTCGGTGTGATAAATAGAACAGGATGATTGCAGGTAATTAGGTATTTTCTTTCATTTCTGTATTTTATAAAATGGCAAAACTGTGTTTTCCGTTAACACACATTTCATGAGAAGTATCGAGGATACTACTTTCATTGTATTGCTGTTTTTTGTAAGTGCCCCCGATTGTGTCTTTTTTCCCCCCTGTACTTTCCCCGGTAACCTCAGCTCGTTTCCCTATTGTGCTCCCCAGCACTTTGGCTGAACAATAGACAGTTTTGGGGAGGTGATGCAGAATGTGCTTCTTCTTGTGGCCTGTTTGAACTCTGCCTGGGAAAGACTTTCACCAGATTGGTCTCTTTTACTACTAATAGGAGACATTAGTTAATGTCAGAAGGAACATGTTGAAAGCAGATGGAGAGTGTTACCTCTGAAAGTGAAACGTTAGAGAAATATTGGACAAAGTGAAATGCTTTATCTCAACTTAACATATCAACAGTCGAGGCATATGAAGATCCATAGAGAGAGGCTCAGGGGTCATTTGCAAAGCGCAAGGAAGGAAGCGTGGTGCCTTTTAATGTACGGACGTACATATGGCATGATGAAGGTCCTTTCAAATGTTAAACTTTTGCATTTGAACCAGCTCAGAGATAATGCTGAAATGCTTCAATTGTAATCGTGGTATTCATCGTGTTCTAGATAAATATCTCTATTTGTCAATATCGTCATCATCCGAATGGCACAAATATGAACCTGGAAACACCGTTTTTTATGTCTTTTCAATCTCTCTTACTTGGACTTTTTTGTATTAATTGAATACTTGTTCAGATCTCTTTTCTGGTGTTATAACATCTCACCATTCTATTTTTGTAGCCTTATATAGGTGATCAATTGCCCTGAAAGAGCTGATGATTACTATTTTTTTCTTCCATATTGTTTAAAGTGACACTAAACTCAGCAGTTAAATCTTAAATATACATTCAAGTACCTTAACTATTAACAATACTGGACCTTATTTGTGTATCACTTGGGTGTAGATCCTCATATCATCTCTGAATTGGTGCTGACACTGCCCTTCCTTCGGGAGGGTGGCTACTTTTGTTCCCCATGGTCCCTGTGTGTGTTGTAAAGTAGTCACCACCCCAAGCTTACTCCCGTGATGGACTACAATCACTATACAAATGAGTAAACTAAACATGAGATTGTAGTCCATCCCGGGAGTGAGCTTGGAGCGGTGACTACTTTACAATACACACAGTGAGCATGGGGAACAAAAGTAGCCACCCTCCAGAAGAAGGGACAGTGTCAACACCAGTGTCAGCTGTTGTTCCCAGTTGCTTCCACTTTATTATAATACCACTAACACTTGACCGTGGAATATTTAGTAGCAGGGAAATTTCATGGATGGACAATAAGTGATAGACTGCACAGGTGGCAGTCTATCACGGTACCACGCTCGTAGTCACTGAGCTCCTGAGAGCGATCCATTCTTTCACAAATGTTTGTAGAAGCGTCTGCATGCCGAGGTGCTTGATTTCGTACACATGTGGCCACGGAGGTGATTGGAACACCTGAATCCAATGATTTGGAGGGGTGTCCCAATACATTTGGCAATATAGTGTATATGTTATACTCTATAGTCCATACACATAGAGCCAGCATATGTTTCTCTCATAGTGTAGTTATACTAGGCCAGTTTTATACTGATCCTATGAAGTTCTCATTTGCGTTAATTCAGAAATTCTTTGTTGCAACTAAAGAAACAGCTGCATTTCACAGAAACGGTCCCCATAAAGACACCCGTCACAAAATGTTTAAAGGCCTTACTTTTATGTCTTCTTGTATGTAATAAATGCAGCAGCTTAAAATCTTGGCAGCATGCGGGGACTTTTCTGTGTCACTTAAACAGAATTTACAAGTCTGGCTAATCCACCCATCTAGCACACACGCTATCACATATTGGAGACATGTGAAACAATCGGATTTTGCCACAAGCAGCATATGAAGTCTACATCCTGCGTAGGCAAAACATAAAAAAGCCAACATAACAACACGTGTCCTTCATATCTATAGTGCAAGGCAGCAGAAATGATGTCAGCATTCCCAGTAAACAACCACATGCTTTTCTTTTGACCAGTTATTTCTGGTAACTGTTTCAATTTCATAGGTGCACACTGCTGTACAGCTGCTTCCTCTCAGTTCTGTGGCTGTATGGGTTCCATAAAGTCTTTAGAATCAGGCAAGCTATTATAACATTTCAGCTGTGCTAAAAATAAATGCTCCTATTTCTTATAATGTCTACTCGCCTACACCACTGCCAACGTTTATCCAAAGCTGTTACTCATTTCTATATCTCTAATGAGCCACCTAAATAAAACAAGTATGGTATTACACCTGGTTTAGTGATAGGCTAAAAGAACCAATATCTGCATCATTTTTTCTTCACTTTCAAGTCACATATCAAAAATTAATTTATAGATAAAGTCTACCCACCAGTGAGTAACCCAGGATTGCTGCAGTGTCAGTGCATGCAATATGCCCACCATAAACATCAAAGGAACCACTCCATGTGGTTCTTAGTTCTTACACCAATTCACTTTGGCTGGGTGCTGGTCTGGCTTGTCTTCCCGACCGATGGGTACCAAGAATATGAAGGGTTCATACTGACTCAGCAGCGGCTGTGGAGAGG